AGGAAACATCTTCATTAGAATCTCCAGTATGGTTCTGGTAGTGTGTTAACTACACTCCCTCCTTCAGCCTTCACTGTCGGGACGATGCATCCACTGTGGTAGTCCTGGCCAAGTTCACACCAAACATGCTGGACCCCATTTGAACCAAACTAATCTATCTTGGTCTCATCTGACTGAAGAATGTGCTCCCAGTATTCATTAGGCATCTTTTCATGCTCTTAGGTAAAGTTTAACCTTGTTTAATTTTTTGGCCAAAGAGCATCAAAAGACTTTACTCTTGAACATCATCAGTAGACATTAATGTTCTACAGTGTCCCTCACACTGTCTGAGCTGTCACAGAAACTCAAATTTCTATTAAAAACTTCAGAGGTTTTCTAACTTGTGTCACTTATGTGGCATTGAGTTTCCACTTTGGGGCACATCTGTCTGAAGTACGAAGTGTGTCAGAAAAGTTCCAGGACTGGTGTCACAAAAGATCTGTTTCAAACCCAAACTACCAACCAGGAGTTTCCCCTTCAGATGATCAACCAGCACATCTACAAAGAGATCCTGCAGCGTTTGCTTTGTTCAGAAGAGGCAGAGTTGTGACAGGACCAGTGGAGGCTGCTTCACCATGACAACCTGCTCACAGCGCCCTGAGCATCCCACAGCTCCTGGCTGAGAAGAACATCTCCGTGCTGGAGCAACCTCCCTACTCACCCCACCTGGCTCTGTGGGGTTGGTTCCTCTTCCCCAAGCTCAAGGGGGTCATCAAGGGGACCCGTTTAGAAGACGTGGACGACATCAGGATGGCTGAAGGATCCTTCCAGGAGTGCATGGCGGCGTGAAGAGAAGGCTGGGGAAGTGTGTTAGACTCCAGGGGGATTACTGGGAAGGGAGAAACTTGTAGTTTGTAGTTTGGATTTGAAATCTATCTTTTGTGACACCAGTCCTGGAACCTTTCTGACACACCTCGTATCTGTTTTTGATTCTTTATAAGAGGAAATACTCAATATGTCAACTTAGAAATAGCTGAGAGGTTAAAAAAGAAGTTGATAGTTGATAGGAAGTTGAAGTAAAGTTCAAAGGATTTGATATTTAAGTGACAATGAACACGGACGTACTCACTTCTGCTGTGCACTGAATATAACACCCTGCAGAAAACACAAAGTTGTTCCATAACGAGGCCTGACACAAGTCATACATGATCACCTGAGTGCAATCATTTGACCTCTCTGCAATTAAAATTCACCTGTATAAAAACAGCTGAATGAAACCATCATTAACGTCATATTTCAATCACTCTTTCCACATCACTTCTCCTTCGTCTGCTATGCTTTAAAGCTGTTCATCTCAAAGTGCCATACTGTTACAACGGGACTGAATCTGCTGATGTTAACCTCATGGACTCAGGTCCAAACCAAAACAGGGCAGCATTGCTGTGGGAACATTTGAGTCCAACAACTTGGAGGAGTCAATATGCAGAAAAAAAAAAGGTGTCAGTTGAAAAAACAATTAAATCATTAGTCACCATTACTGGTATGAGCATTACTCATCAGCTGAACCTTCATGATCGAACACAACACATGAGAGGCTTTAAGACACAGAGTGTTTCTGTTCAGGGTTTTTCTCTCCACAGCTGATTACTGTCTGCTCAGAGAGTAGAAGTTCAGTAAATGCTGGCAAACTTTCCCAATCAAAGGCTCTGCAGACTTAATCACAGGCTCGTCCCAGTGCCTGTGTTGGTTTCTCTCTGCACCACGTTAGCTATCAGAGCTGCTTTGTTTATACGAGCACTTGGTTACCGTCACTGTTCTCTGCTGTTTAAAGAAACTCCAACTTCCCGCACTCTACGCTGAGACATGCAAATATAAAAGCACTTCCAACTTGTATAAGCAAAAACAAAGAGCTCCTATCTGTGTTGACAGTCCTCCAGTGACTTTACTATACTGCTCCGGCGATAACTTATCTCGGTCAATAACCACGACGCACAAACGATACGGATATGGGCGAGGCGACTCTGATAATGAACGAGTCGTGGCTAGTGTTGGGAATCAGGCTAATGAGCTGGCGTTGGTACAGATGGCCTAAAATTAGCCCGAAGGCGGCGACTCTCTCCTAAATGTCTACGGAGAGCAGCTAATGAGGACAGCACAGCAGGAGACGGCAGGAACAAGGAATTAACTGTTTCTGAGACCAGAGCCGATCCTCAGAAGCACTCTTCCTGGGCATGGAGCTGGTTCTCACAGGGAGCGGGTTATTTGGGGACACTGGTCGTCTCTCAGCACCAGTTTGTTTCACCTGCCTGATTCATTTACAGATGCTCATACCTGGGAGCTGCTCAGGGCCGTCGGTCCGCTGGCTGCTGGCCAGCGCTGGCTTCGGGCCTCGCTTCAGCCTCTGGATGACAGCTGAGTGCCTATTTTCTTTTTGGATAATCAGAATCAGACTACAATTCCAGTTTTGGTGCCATAAATTGTCTAATAAAAGTAAATCATTGTGACTGTTGGTTTCTTTTCCTTTTTTTTCCTACTTAATTCATCTTCTTTCCAGATGATGCCAGAGGTTATGCAATTGGGACTATTTATTCCTGGGAAACAGGAGGGAAGGAGGAGATGATGAGGATCTAGTGGTTCTTATTTTCTCTGCTGAACCGGATCATCGCTGTGTGTTTAAGGATTACGCAGCGCGGACCGCATGTAAAATGTTTTGTACATGTGCACGTTGCCAAAAAGATGTTGGCGAGCTCACGCCGGCTTGCACAAGTTTTCCTGAGAAAAGGAAAAGAGAAAGTAATGAAAGTGATTTATTATTCGGGAGGGGGCTCAAACAATGGCTGCTTCAGTTTGGGCTGAAAACATCCAGGACTGTGTGGATGGAAGTTATCTCCTCTTAATATCGACTGTGGTTAAGAGCTGATCACGTCTGACTAGATCATTAAAATTTGCCTCAACCTTCATGAAAACCTCGTGTTGGTCTCACAAAACGATTTATTTATCTGCAGTTCATGTGCTTCATTGGCAAAATATTCCAAACGTCTCACCGAGCCATTCGGTTTAATTCAATTGGATTGCATGTGTGTTGCGCCAACTCCGGGCGTAAGTCATCTGAGGGCGCTTCACACGGGGTCGAGACCTTCCAATATTAAATTATAGAGAGAAACACAGCAAATCCAATGATTCTCTCTGAGCAGGCACAGCGGGAGGACCATCGCAGCGAGCAGTGACTTTAAGTGATTTTATTTTGTTATTAGTGATTCAGAGAACTGATAAAAGAACGTTTCTTAAACCTAATCGTGTGAAACTGTTTTATCGAATTTCCCAAATTGCCATTTTGGTAAATATAAATCGTAAATTGCTCCAATCTGATAACCAGACGCTGAATCACTGGTGTTTTTTCTGACTTTCTACATGATCTGTGAACGACAACCAAATGATGCTGGTTAAAGGAACTAAAACAGCTCAGTTTTGGGAAAGATTCTGGCTTAAAGTGAATGTTAAGTTCTGGTTTCTTTGACCAAAGCCGGATATGCCTTCTAGAAAAAAAAGATGCCCCACCTCTCACACTTTTTTCTGTGTTGGTTTTGGAAGTTCAGGTCAGGATGGCACCTAAAATAGCAAGAAGGAGCTCGTCTCACATCATCCAGGGACACCAGCCTGAACACTGATTATTAACGTCGGCACATCATCTGCTTTTGTTCCCCGTAAATCACCGTTAATCAGGCTTTGGTTGGAACTTCTGTGGCCGAGAAAGAACATTGAATTTAGTTATTTCTGGCATTTGTCACCTGATATCGTCGCCCTCCATTAACTCAATGTCCTTCTACTTAATGCATTATTCTCTTTTAACAACTCTTCAAAGAACTCATCTCCACCTTCCTCGTCTGTTTCGCTCTCACATTCGTGTACAATCCACAGAGCATCAGTCGTCTTACAGTCCTGTATTAATTGTCTGCTGTGCCGTTCACAGCCAATTAAAAGGCTAATGGGTTGAAATGGATCCAGCAGCAGCCGGCTATCCTGCTCAAGCCCGTTTGCTTCATCCGTGGACAGTGTGTGTGGTTCATGTTAATAACAAACAAACTGTAATACAGCAGCAAAGAAGGAGAACCTGCAGCACGTCTGCGATGAAATGTCAGCGATCAGCTGCCCGTGTTCTGGGTAATTGAACAGCAGCAGACCTTTTCATGTGTCCTGGCAGCCAGCAAAGTGTTGTGTGAGATTTTTTTTTTGTGGGGTTGATGTGAAACTAATCTCCTCATGAGTGTCTGAGCAGGCCAGAGACCTGGGAACACCTGGCCAGATGCCCGTGGACTCTCCCTCCTCTCGTTTCCTCACAGCTGTCACTTTCTCATCTATTACGCACATCTACTGTATGTTTACCCATCCGTGCACTCGGGCTGACACACCTCCAACTCAAATGATAGAGGTCGCGTCATAAAACTGGAGATCAGACTGTGCTGGAGCAAAGGAAGTAAAGTTTAAACATTTATTCTGGGGCTGAGTTTCAGCTCCAGTTCTCTGCCTGCAGCCCAGAAACTGCTCCTCCAGAACACGAAATACAGACATTTTAATAAGAATGAAGAAAACAGAACCACTTCTGATGATGGATTATCAATTATCTTTAAATAGTAATACTATAAAACTGAGAAAGTGTCATCTTTAAATGCCATCCTTTCATTTTAAGTCAAAAACATGGATGAATAATTGATAATATTACAACTATAAAAAGTCTAAATTAAGAGTGGAGACACTTAAATACCCTGATACCACACTGTTCTACAGAAATGTGGCAGAAATTTCAGAAAAATGCAGAATTCCTGGAGGACAACAAAGCAAATCTTATAAGCATCCAATCAGAGAGAAAAAAAAGGCTTGGTTCGAGTTTTCCTCTTGAAATGACGCTTGAGCTATCAGCATCATCTCCACAGAACTTTCAGTACCTTAAAGTACAACTCATATCCATCAGCATTTCTTCTGCCTCTCTCCAGTCTCTCTCTGTCAAACTTTAACGCGCTCACCTGTGTCGGGCTGCTCGCCTCCGCTCCTCAGATCCAGGTGAGCCAGTGCGCACCGGCGGCTCCTCGGCTTCTGGGTGAAATGAAGAAAAATGGAAGAAAAAAAAAAAAAAACAGCTGCCAACCCAGAGACACTGATCTGCACGAGCTGCAGATGAGTGACACTGGGTGACAGCAGCCCGCCTCGTGCCACAGAGAGGGAGAGAGAGAGAGAGGGAGAGGGAGAGAGAGGGAGGGAGAGAGAGGAAGAGAGAGAGGAATGACCGATGCTGCCACCGTGTGGACTCATAACGCAATGAGGCAGGACGCAGCTACAGCGCAATATAACACAGCAAGAGCGCACTGGAGCAATAGTACCCTTCTCCACTGGAGACCAACATTGGAGACACTTAGACCCGCTGCTTGCTCCTGGATTTGTAGCAGAATGATGCAAAAATGCCTCAATGGCGTGTTTTCCTCCACGAGAAAGCTTGATGGCAGCTTTGGAGGAGCTTCGTCAGTGTTGCAAATTCTCACGTTGCTGGCGTGAGACCTCCTCTTTCGGCCTCTTTCACGTTGCCAAACGAGTGTCACGCCAAACTGGAGGAAGCCACGAAACTCCAACAGTGATCCACACATCAGAGGGTGCGCAAAAGACACGTGGCTTCACACACAAACTCTTTCACTGTTACTTTTACCCCGTTACAATTTTTAAAAATGTCAATTAAAATACAGTAAGTAGTCTTTCTGCATCATTAAACAGCAACAGGATGCACGTGAGCGTCTCCAAAGCGTGAGAGCTGCGCGTATTTACGCACGTCTACCAACAGCTAACCTCATTAATTACTTACAATTATGAGTCAGCAGAGGTAAACTGGTGAGGACAAGCAGCCTGGGAGTTTGCTGAGAACTGGGCCCAGTTTGATAAAACGTATTCTAACTGACAGCAGGTTTATTGATCAGTGAATCCCCACTTAGGCCACAAAAGTCCACAATTTGTATGATGATGGAAGATTAGTGTGGGAAGGATTTCCTGCTGATTCAAAGCTAACTTAATGATCACGTGACACCTGATTTGACCCAAGAGCCTGCTTTAATATCAGAACTCTTTTTGTCTTTCTTTCTATTTATTGTAATGCAGCAACAAATACCTTAAAGGAGTCCATCACGGTCACATGAAGGAGGTTTTGTGGTCTTAAAAGTCACACAGTAGCATTTAGTTTGGATCTGTTCTGCTCTTCTATCCTTTCTCAGAGCCGTGTTCAGTCAGGATCTAACTCTGACATTTTCTAAACACCAGACAGTTGAGCTCTCACAGAGTCTCAGTCTATCAGCTGCACTTACATCATCTGTTATATAGCGGCTGTCTTTAAGTCCAGTCCTGAGCTTTTTTTTTTATCATTTGTTTGTAAAAAATCTGAGCAATTTATGGCACAAAGGTCAAAGTTATCTTTAGTTCCACAGTCTCAGCAGGACATTTGCAGCAGTGGCATTATTGTGCGTATAGATGCATATCAAACACAATCTTTCTAATTATTCATGTAAGGAGCAAAATATGGCAAAGAGCAGCCAAAAAACAACAAAAACACAAAGCATGGCACCATAAATACATGAATGACAACATGTTGTCAACTACACAGTTCATTTTATTCAGAAAATAATTAACATGAGTGTTATGATTCATGACATAACCTGATTTCTATCCATACAAACAGCTCCACCCCCACAGGATCCAACCGGTACCAAGCTGGCAGCTCTGCTTCCTATTGAAAGTAGACGCACTTGTGAAGGAACTGTTCAAAACACATTCACCTTAAAGCTGAGAATCCAGCTGAAATATCAATGCATTGATCCGTGCATGCTGAATAGTAGCCTGTTAGCTTAGCACAAAAGCTGGAAACAGACAGAAGTTGTCACCTGGTTGTTTCTGAAGCAACAGAATGCACCAATGACAAGTTGGTCGGTTTACTGCAGCAGACCGTTCACTGGAAGGTTCTGCTTCAGTGTGTTTCTGTGGCACTGTTGGTTTAAGATGGTGCATCTGGTTGTATAGAAATGTAATTCTGGTTCATTATTTC